ACCGTTTCGGAACTTTATTTTTTCACCGTACAATTTTAGGTCCCTTATATAAATTGGGCTCGAAAATTAGCCCGTCTTCCATTGAGGCTGATTGCTTCGCCGTGGTCTGCCCCCGCTTGGATGAAAACCAATGGAAAGATGAATGGAAACGGTACAATGATCGGCAATCCAGGTTCAAAGTATTATAATACATGGGCGGACTATTTTGTTAGGTAAAATTTCTTTATCTCTCTAATATGTAAATATTGCTTGAATTTTTGAGTTATTGAAATTTTTTTCAGCTTATTCCCGCTTGGTAGTACTGTGGTTTCTTGAGTGGTGGTTTAAAACTAAAACCCGCATACGTCATTTAAGAACTTCTCAAGGCGTTGTATTATCGAGAAAAAAAATGTGCTTTCTAGCTATAAACCCTAAATGATAAATTTCGTTCACTTTTAAAATTATGGCGGAAATATAATTTTGAGTAGCGTATAGTTTTACGTCGCATTTCCGCAGTCATATTTCATAACTCTCATGCAAATATGCGGTTCTGTTTTTTACCTCATACATCCGGTATCAATTAAATGTTCCTTCTTTCTAGCCAGTGAGTTATCATGTTTCGTTCAGAGTGGAAACTGAAGTAAAATCACACTGCGTGCTCTCTTCTAGGATTAAGAACGATGCTGCCCAACTTGAGCTTGACTTTAAAATTCATCTGAAGTCTTATTTGCCATTCTCTATTGAGAAATTTGATGACCTTGTGAGCAGTTTTCACTGGTAGTTTTGTAATGGTTATTGCACGCGGTATTATTTATTCCATTCGTTACCGTACAAGTGTTCTGCTACTAAATTAAATTCACAATATTAAATATTGACGATAATTCCACGAAATTATTACATTGCTAGATGTTTTGGAAATTATTTAAGTTGTTCTCTGCTTCATGATGTTTAAGTAAACTTAAGGACATAAGTTACATTCTCTTAGAACGTAAATGCATCTTGTACTATTTTCCTTCTTAAGACAATACTTTGTTCCCCTGTGGTGTCAGGTACTCCTTTGACATTTGCTATCAAAAACTTGATTCTTTCTGTCGTGCATAGAATTTTTTGATTTTGTAATTTACGACCTACTGTTTTTTGAGTTATTCCATTTTTCCTTTAATTTAACTCGTTTTAGATTCTTGACTGAATATAAAAAGTTGAACATTACATTTTGGGCTGTTACGGCACAGAACGAGCCATCAACCGGCTTCATTTACAATTACAGCTTCCAGACAATGGGATTCACTGCTGAAATGCAGAGGGATTTTGTAAAATACGACCTTGGCCCAGCGCTTAATCTCGGTGGCTACCAGGATGTACACCTGATGGTTTTGGATGACCAACGGCTACTGCTGCCAAAATGGGCAAAAACGGTATATGCTTAAGTTTGTTTATTTGTCATTCATGTTGAATAAGTCACTTTTTTGAAGTTCACTTGAATTTTGTTAAAATGTGAGTCGGTAAGTCGGTATCTGATTATTGGTTATGTAATAAATTAGTTTCGAAAGACTAAAATTATCATGACAATTTATAATATAACAAGTAATGTATACCCGTCACGCATTTGCCACTAGATTCCCCTCTGAAGACGGTTGGTACAGATTGAAAAATATAAAATAAACACTAGTAATGTATAGAAATTTTTTATCTTCTGCAACGATTAAGCTTTAACTCTGTTAGGTAAGTTAATTTTTGACGCACAAAAAGGTAATCATTCTCTGTGTACTCCATGAAACAGTATTCCTTGAAAAGTAGTATGTCTTTATATTTTTATTTTATTTCATTCTCTCGCAAATAGCTCTCTGGGTCAGACATATATACTGTTTCTTCGACCACATTCCCTGTTCTCTTAATATAGCTTTCTGTGCATTTGCGCGGAATGCAATAGACCCATCTGCACTTCTCATCCTGCGGAATCCTCGTCTTGATTTTGATGACTCATTTTGGATTGTGAATTCAGACTTGTATAGAGTTGTCAGGTTTAAAGTGGAGGGCGATCCTTTGTAAGTTTTAACTTAAGTTACGGATATAAGACAGATTTGTTATTTTATCTGTAATTTCACTGTTTTCGCTTTCTTCTGAACATTTACAAGGTCTATTCTTTAGCGAATTATTTCCTAAGAAGCGCGTCTGAGCAACCGTAACAGTGCTGATTTAAAGGAAAAACGCTACGCAGTAAACATCAAGTATGAGGCAAACGAACGATTCTTTTGTCATCAAGCCGAATTCAAAAGCAACTGTGCGGTTGTTCAGTGTTATGTTGCCATAAGTGTTTTTGTGTGTTGTTGAGTTCATCACTTACGCCGCTTGTATCAGCGGAAAGTCTCTACGTTGTGTTGTCTCCTGTATCCATAGGCTTTCAGCACTTTTTTTGTAAGGCTTCAGTTGCTGCAACGCAGAGGGAAATATTACTCTCTGAAAGCAGACCTGCCTCTACTTTTTTTTTACATGCTGCATGCTGGTTGGCCTCCTGATCGATATGTTTCGGCTCCCCCAAGAGAAACTCATGGCCTCGAGTACATGGTTCGTGCTCAGTCAGTTTGTCTCACAGGGCAAATCTCTTTTTCTTAATCTTCATATCTACTGAGGTCATTTGTGCTCGGAAGAAAGTTTTGAGTAATTCCTTATATGATCGTACCATTTGACCCTTATTATGCATCGAAGCCAATACTGAGGTGCGCAGTTCAACCTTCGTTTCTGCTCCTTCATTAGAACAACGGTCTCCATGCCGTTAAACAGAGATGGATAACAACAGAGATGACCTGACAGCGGTCACGTACAGGCAAATGCTTGTGAAAAGCGATATTCCTTTTCTGCCCAAAATTTGGAGAGGTTTACAGAAGTAATCGAAACTCGAGTGATTCCCTTTCTTTAACTCTGACTGGGGCCGAATTGCTGAAGTGCTTCATCTCCTTTTTCTGCTTGTAGATCAGCTGTGCCGGATGAATTCCTCATTGCTTTTGACTTTCGGGCAACCTGGGGTACATAAATAATATTGTCAC